GAATTTAGTACAATTCATTGTTTAGTGCCATGTATTTACTCGGTATTCCCTTTACAGCCAAGCATTGCCATAGTACTTCTAGGTCTACAGAATCGGATGTCGCCTTTAGGTCAAGAAATATAACTATTGTGGGACGTCGATAAGTATGCCTAGGTTCCAGAATCTGTCGAAGGGTGAAGGTATGATCATACACCTTCCTCCTGGTCTAAAGCCTCCCTGGTTCTCTCATGTTTGTTTCTCCCGAGCACCACTTAGTCTACGCATTATTATTGAGCCTAGAACTTTAGTTACCATATCAGTCAAGCTAATCCCCCTGTGATTATCACAGGGAGACTTGTCTCCCTTCGTGTATATGGGGATAATCAGTGATTTACACCAGTCTGATAGGACTTACTCTGATCCCCAGATACTGCCTAGTAACTTAGTTAACGCAGACAGTAAACTGTCTCCACCGTAATTAAATACCTCTGGAGTCATTCCATCAGGTCCTGCTGGTTCGCCTCGTCTCAGACTAGTGACAGTCTTAATAACCTCAATTAGGGACGAAGGACCTGTGTGTATATCTTATTCCTGAGAAAACCAGGAAGAGGGTGTATTGATCATATAACCACCCTTCAAAAGATACTCGAACGTAGACATAATTACTGGCGTCCAACAATCGTCATACTTCTTATCCTAAAAGCGGCATTCGATTCCATCGACCGACAAGTACAATGACAGCTTTTCTCTTTGAAGGGTGTGCCGAGAAAAATGCATTGCACCGATCAAGTCACTCTAAAAATTTCATGCAACAAATTAAGTAGCATATGGAGATCTGTCATATGAAGTGGTGACAGCCAGTGGTGTCCATCAGGGATGCCCACTGCTCCAATTTCTGACTAACTTCATCATAGATGTAATAATAAACTTGACTCCAACTAACTTCAGCGAATCAGGGATCGACTTGTTACCCGGAAGTAATCTCGTTGACTGGGAATATGCAGATAATATAGTCCTCCTAGGTGAAAACTCTGACAGAATGCAGAGCCTTCTGGACTTATTGAGCAGCAATCTTCGAATGTTTGGCATGCGATTCGCTCCTGGACTACATTAACTCGTAGCTTAGAGATAGGGAGAGAAGCGGTTGACCAATCCACTTCTTTGGGGAGTTGCATCAGGCTCAGTGGAGTGATTTCTGACGAAATCTCAGCGCGAAGGACTCGTGTGGCTTTGCCAACCTGCATCATCTCTAGCGTAGACGCTATACCTGGCTATCGATCAGAGTTCTTGCGTACTGCCCAGCAGTTTGCTCTTATCTCCTGTATGGTTGTGAGACATGGACATTGGGAGTGGAGGTCATGAAAAGGCTAGCTGTCTTCAATCATACCTGTCTGCGTTTTATAACCCCGGGGGTATAATATGGTGAGCAATATTGAGGTTATGCATCAAGTGTTCATTGAGGAGGGAAAGTCAGTCGATGAGGACAGGACTGGACTACGTCAACTCCTAGCTTAGTGACAGGGAGTGAAGTGATAGAACATGTTGACCACTTCACCTATTTGGGAAGTTGTGTCAGCACCAACGGACTGATTGGCGACGAAATCTCAGCACGGATCCAAAAAGCTCGAGCTGCTTTTGCTGACTTGCACCATCTCTGGCGTAGGCGTGACACCCGGTTATCAACCAAGGGACGTGTGTACTGCTCAGCAGTTCGCTCCATCCTTCTCTATGGCTCTGAAACATGGCCGATGCGAGTTGAAGACATGAAAAGGTTGACTGCTTTCGATCATAGATATCTGCGATCTCTGTCTCACGTTAGGTGGTTTAATAAGGTAAGTAATGTTGACGTTAGGCGTAGAGTGTTGGGCAAAGAGGGAAAATCAATCGACGAGGCTATAAAGTTACATAGACTAAGATGGCTAGGTCACGTGCTGCGCATGCCTAACCATCGCCTCCCTCGACGGGCATTACTAGCTGATTTAGGTGCAGGTTGGAAAAGAGTAAGTGGTGGCCAAGCAAAAACATGGATGTCATCAACCCATGAAATCCTTGACAGTTAAACTGAGTCAGGTAGGGAGATGCAGACTTCCGGGTTGGGGCCCTCGGGACTCTAGGAATCAATGGCTGAAGACAATAGGTGACATGGCTCAAAATCGTTGTCAATGGTGCAGATGTATTCAGTCTCTGTAATCTTTCATATTCCTTTCTACCGTTACCCATTCTGTTTCACTCTTATACTTGTCAGACTGTATTGATTCTCTTCACTCATCTTCTTGTCTACCTCTGTGTGCTATTTGGAACGTGGGAACTCGAACTGCTGCACTTCGGTGCCAAGTTCTATGTTGAATCCAGACAGACAGTCGATGAGGTTGTGAAGCTAGGTCGATTGAGATGGATACGACGTGTGTTATGCATGCTTAGGCATCACTTTCCTCTACGGGCAATGTTAACATAGGGTAAGATTGGAAAGGAGTTAGTGGTGGTCAAAGCGAAACATGATTTCACCAGTCCAAGAAATCTCCAGTAGTTAGTTTGCGACATGTATAGAGGTGTAGAGTACCTGTTTTAGGTCCCCAGGATCCCAAGAGCCAATAGCTAGAGAAAGTTAGTGTTATGGCTCGAAATCGTCCACAATGGCTCGGATGCATTCGCTTCTTATGATCCGTTGTATCAATCATAATTCCGTTGTCTTTTCATCTTGCTATTCTGTCTCCCTCATGTCTCTCGTAGGATATTCAAATATATGCTCTTCAATTTGAAATATTTAAGGCTGGAGGAAGAGGCAATCACTAAATAAACAAAGTGCGAAACGATAAGTTTTGACAAACTACGTTTATCAGTGTTTCTGACATTGAACCTATGTGTTGTCACTGGTAGTCCTAAACTACATGTTCTGGCTGTTGGAAAATTACGCATTACGAAGTCTCTGTTGTGATCGTAAGCTTCACAGACCAGTGTTATGCCAAGATCTATATGGCTTTATGCTTTTTCCTGCCTACCCCTAGTTACCATAGGCTCTACGGTTATGTGCTGTGTAGTTATGTGTATTATATTGTAATCGTCTAGATAGGAAAGTGTTCACAATCGTATTTATTGAAAAACCACCTGAAACCCGATTACTTCCGCATTTCCTATTTCTCACCTAATTTTTAGCTTTGTGAGGCGTTTTCTTTGTAACCGCATTGTAAAATGTCAATATCCAGATGATAATCATTGCCAAATGTTAAGTGGGTGTGTAACAAAGTGTTAGGCGAAATTCCGTTCGTCGATTCGTTCCTGTGTGTTGTTTCAATGTTTTAGGAGTTTCTCAGTAAACCCAATAGCGTGGTGTCATTATCGTCCTCATATTGCTTTTTTTATTGTTCCCTTGGGTTCCTAGTGGAACATAGGGCTTCATCTGCACGTCTCCACTTGCTTCTGTCTTCCTTCTGCTGTACTTTTCACCTGCATCCATGTTAGTCCATACTCTTTCAACTCCTCGTCACACGATGTCCTCCATGTCACCCTTGCACTGACGTCCCACTCGCCGCGTGCTTCCCTTTCGGCCTGGTTCCATTCGAGAAATGGCCTGACGCGCGCGCGGTGTCACCAAGCGGCCTCCTCAGCGAGTGTCAAATCAGTCTCAATCCACTTTCTGTTGCATATTTGTTGGGCGATTGATTCTTATTTTGTTTGTTGGTGATTCTTTCCGGCCCGGCCATCTGATCTTCAGTACAGAGCCAGCGAAGACAGTTGTTGGCTGATAAAGGTCTGAAACAGCCTGTTGGAAATATTCTTCGTGACCTGCCCGCCAAGTTTCTGTTTGATCCGTATAGAAGAACTGACCTACTTGACGTTTGTATTGAAAATCCGACTAAATTTTGTTGTTAATGCTGAGTGATTAATATTTCAGGGTTAGTTTCAGGTTGATGAATGTGTTTCTTGCCTTCCCAATTCTCGATTTGACATCCTCGTCCGTTTCGACTGGCTGTAGTCGAGACAATGCCCCCTAGATAAGTGAATGAACGAAGTACCCTCTTTCAAATCCCTCCCGTTGATGGTGATTGGCGCTGGATGTTCCTGTTGTTGTTGTTGGTTGGTTGGTTATTTTCATCACCTCCGTCTTGTCTATGTTCACCTGGAGTCCTGTCTTCGCCGGCTGCTTCTTCGACCAGTTTGTTGGTTTTCGCTTGTAAGTCTTCGATTTTGTGTGACATCAAGCATAAATCATCCGCGCGCGAAATCCAAGTCTTCTAAGTACTTCACGTCGGTCTAGGGTATCCCTGTCTTCTCGTTTCCCACTGTCTGACACATAATCCAGTCCACCACAATTAGGAATATCATTGGTGATAATAAGCCAGCACCCTTGTCTGACTCGTGTGTTTACTCCAAACGTCTCGCTGAGCTTTCCGTTGTGGATGACTTGACATGTGCCGTTGTCGTACAGCTGTTGAATAAGTTTGATGAATATTTGATGTACGCCGTAATACTCGAGTAGTTTCCAAATTACTTCGCGGTCAACGCTTTCGAAGGCCTTCTCAAAGTCTATAAAGTTGAGGTAGAGGTTTGATTGACATTCCATGCTTTGTTCAGTGATGATGATACGTAGAGTTGCAATTTGGTCAGGACATGATTTGCCTTTCCTGAATCCAGCTTGTTCTGGTCGGAGTTCTGCATCCAGTGCGTCCTTTATTCTCTCCAGGATGATGTGACTTAGGATTTTCCTTGGCGTTGACAGGAGCATGATCCCTCGCCAGTTCCTCCCTTGCAGATTCTTAAGTCGCCCTTTTTGGTAGTTTCACGAGGTAACCTTTCCTCCTTCCAGACTTTTCGCAATAATGGATTCAGCATATCCACTGTCGTCTCTGGGTCCGCTTTCAGTGCTTCAGGGGTTATTCCATCTGGTTCGGCTGCTTTTCCAGCTTTCAGAAGCCTGATAGCATTCAAGACTTCAGATTTAGTTTGAGGATGGGTTTCAACTTGCGGTTGTGTACGTGCTGTTGTTGGTATTTCTGGACGGGTTTCAGGTGGTGGTCGGATCAATAGTCCTTTGAAGTGATCCGCTCATTGTTTAATCTGTTTTTCTTCCTTGGTGATTGGGTTCCCTTGGCTTTCTTTTATAGGTTTCGATTATGTTGACCTCTTCCAGGATAGAGATTTGGTTATCTGATATAATGTCCTCAGGTCCCTTTTGCCTGCTGCCTTCTCAGCTTCAGTGGCCAGATTGTCGTAGAATTGTCTTTTGTCCTTCCTAGCATTCTTTTTCACTTCTTTGTCCAGTGCTGTGTAACTTGAGCTTGGCGTCTCTTTCTCTTGCCCGTCCTTGCATTGAATCATCTTTTCTTTCACCATTCTCACCTCCTCTATTAGCTTCCAAGTGTCCATTGAGAGCCATTCCTTGTTTTGTCTCTTCTTTCTTCCTAGAACCGTTGAACACGTTTCGTTGAAAATCACCTTCAGAGAGTTCCAATGGTCTTCCATGCATGATTCCTCAGTGATGTCACGTAGTGTTTCTTGCAGTGAAAGTGTCCTTTGTGGTTGTGTCCGTCGCTTTTTGAGTGTTGAACTTGCATTGTGACTTATCCCTAGCTATCCTCGAGGCTTTTAGCTTTACCTTGAAAATCCCTTGTACTAGATGGTGGTCTGAACCCACATCTGCTCCTCTCCTCGACCTTGTGTCCAGTAGGCTCCATCTCCACTTTCTTGAAATTGAAATGAAGTCCATCTGGTTTTCGGTGTGTCCATCTGGTGAAATCCATGTCGCCTTGTGCATATCCTTGTGTTTGAACACACTGCCACCAATCACCAAATCATTGAAGCCGCAGAAGTCTGAGAAGAGTTCACCGTTGTTGTTCATTTCGCCAAGGGCCTCTCGACCCATGGTGAGTTCTCTTCCTCTGTTGTCTCCTCCCAGTTTCGCATTCATATCACCGATCAGGATTCTGATATCGCCATTTGGGACGTTGTCCATTACTGTTTGTAGTTGTCTGTAGATCGCTTCCTTCTTCTCTTGTTCTGAGACGTTTGTAGGCGCATAGCATTGGATGGTTGTAACCTTCCTTCCCTTTTAGTTGAACCTGGCTGTCATTATCCTGGAGGAGATTGGTTCCCACTGCATGAGAGCTTTGGCTCCTGTTGGTGACATCATGATGGCCACTCCCTCGGTGGGCTCATGGTTGTCCTCTGGGTAACCGGAATAGATTACTGTCTCTCCAGTCGATAGTTGGCACCTTCCAGTTCCGTTCCATCTGCTCCCGCAGATTCCCAACACTTCTATTCAATATCTTTTCATTTCTGCAGCTACCTGGGCAGCCTTTCCAGCTCTGTACATTGTACAAACATTCCACGTCCCCTTCCTTAATTTTGCTTTCATCGAAAGAAGGCATTGCTTAGATTAACTGAATTTCCTTCAGTTGGCTAGATTTTTACACAATGGAACAATTTTTTATGATATAGCACACGATGGTAGGTTATTATTTATTCATTCACTAATCGGGTTTTAGGCAGGTTTTATCACTGAAAATGATAAGATTGTGAGTGCGTTCTGCTGTCCAGTACTCCCTGATATTTTTCAATGGTTCTCTAACTGATATCCCTGGTCAAACTTGTAAAAACAAATTTAATCCTTACAAACCAGCTCTTGAAAATAAGAGATAAGGTAATTTTATTGTAAATATATTGTTCAGCGTGTACCGAGTTCTATTCATTTAATAAATATGCTAGACAGGAAGAAACATATCTCATTGTTATGAAGGGGTTAAAATCAAAATACCTCCAAACCACTCAAATTGTCAAACCCCATCTCACTTATCTCTCATAAATTAGGTACATTTTAGGAATTCTTTTTATTATGCGCTGTCTCTGCTTGGTGATCATTTAGTAGTCTTCTTGTGTATATCAAGATGTAGGAGTATTTCCAACTAGCGAGTGAAAGACAACCTTTAACTGTTTATCAAAATGCTTAGTGTTGACATGTGAGCGATATGTTCATTCTCAGCGAAAACGCATGAAAGTAAACAGGGATGCTTAGACAGCTTACTAGAATACACCTGACCGTTTATGTGTGAGGAGGATTAGTTATTCTACGTGATCTCAATAGGAACTAATAGTTCGATGAAAAGCTATTCATGTTGTAAAGGTTTATTACATTAGTAAGACGATCTAAAAGTGATCCGTTTTATGCCTCGTTATACTATAGTGTACCTATCATTTCACTTCTTCCTACGAAATTCATTACGTTATCAAATAATATTTTACCTACTACATATTGAAGTAGCATTGTCATCCAAATACAAACTATTCAGGAGTAGTACAGATAAATAACTGTAAACTGATTTATGCATCTCTAATTAACTGCTCAAACCTCACAAAACCGATATAGGTGATTTTCACCACAGGAAATATACTAGAGTAACTATGATAATAATAATTAATTGTTATTTCTGAATTATGTATTGTATGACAATAAAGATTGTTTTCGAACTGCCAAATCAGTACAGCTTTAATGTGATATCGTCGGACAGAAAAGTTTACATTCATTAGATCTCTTAATTGTTTCAAACTGACTGTTTACCCTAAAATCACAGGCTTTCGCATTTATACAACTGCAAATTTTGATGAAATGGTTGTTAATCACGGTATATAGATAGATAGTTTGATAGACAGCTAATCGATATTATGTGACCCTTTTTGTCGGGATTATTGGTTAATTTAATGTAACTCACACCACGTGATGTGACCTTGAGTGTTCTTTATTTCCTGTCACTCTATTTGTGTGTATATGTAATTAATTAACTGTTCATTTTGATTGCATGGAGGATTTAATCATGAGCTGACATCAGTTCGAGAACCACTGGAAAACCTGGGAGTATTGGACAGCTGTTTCGTTCTAGTTTGGGACTCCTCAGCAGTACGCACCCACCGGGATTCGAACCCAGGACCTTCTGGTTACAAGGCGAGCTCGTAGACCATTGAGCCACTGGGACCCGATCCAATGGTCCTTGAATTCTAACTTCTGCCAGTTCACGACATAGCGCGACCACTTCGCAATGTCTTCTTCGATGAGTTACTGCCTCATCTTCGACCTGCTGTACGCTACTGGTCACGGCTTCCCACTAGAACCCCAGGTTAACTGCCTGAATAGGGCCAGTCACTAGTGTTACTAGTGTGCCAGTCACTGTTCATTTTGTTCGTTTCTTCAATACTGTTCGGTGCGTTTTTGTCTTTTCTTGAGTGACAGCGAGTTTTATACTTTTCTTGGTGTAATTGTATGCTTTGTTTTATGTTTTAGAAACAGATAAAGTTTAAGTCAAGTCACTCGGTTTTTTAACTATAGTTAAGCCAGGACTCTGTATCGTCAGTACTGAGGAAGGACTAAATCTGTAGGCAAAATTAATCCTACAATGGTCTTGAAGTGAATAACTTTTGTTCCGGTATGGGCTATTATCAAAAGTCTGTTTAAAATGCTATGCACTGTTGTCGAAATCGAGATATGCTTCCATACCTGTGTATTCAATTCTGTACAAATAATATGTGAGATTCTCTCATCGTAACTATCCACTGATTAGTGTAAAAATAAGGTGTTAAAATACATTTCAGAGGCTAAAGGTATTGACGTACACGGATAGTACGAAGTATACTAAGGCAAGATCTAACACCCACAACTTCTACAGTATTCGTTCCGCATGAAGCAAAATAAAACACAAGAATTGATCGTTCAAATTACGAGTTGTATTTCGAGACCAAATCGGAGTGCGAGATGACTGGTTAACTAGCTAGGGATCGTACACGAACGAACGAACGTAACACGACAACGTACCAAACGGCGTGCATGCTTGACTGAAAGCCTTCAGCTAAACAAGTTGACTATAAACAGTGAGCGTCAGCATCCAATGTCCAGTGATGAATGCTGTGGCCAATAATTCTGGGGAATTACCTGCCACTACACCTAACTCCCCCTTATCGGGGTTGTGAGGACCCTAAGAACATACCAGCCGGAAGTGAGAAACTCAATGGTTTTCCCATTGATAAAAACGCATCCGATCGGCTTGATGTAGTGCCTACTGGTAGTCTACCTATGCTAATAGGGTGCCTGTACATCGCTTTGTTTTTATGTTTGTCCGTTGGATTTCGTGCTTCGTTTGCTTCTTATCGAGTGCCCGCCGCACCTGGAAAAGAATACTAAGAACCTTGTTGGAGAAAATGTACCAAAAATAACTTTTGAAAAACGATGTGCATCTAGCATACTGTAAAATAATGCGAAAAACAGAACACCGTAGAAAGCATATATCTAGTTTTTAGTGGATGTAATATGTACGGTTATAAAAAGGTTTTTACTTTTGCTGCGGGACAGTATAAAAATTGATGTGCCTGAAAGAAAAAAATCAATAAATACCAGAAGCGAATAAGAACTGGGTGAAATGCATCACTTAGTTATGTGACATAAGTGTGAAGATGTTCTGGAAATCTCACGTTTCGTCCAGAACGCGTTTTCTTTGAGGGCTCGACATAAGGTTCGTTGGCTTTCGCCATGCTAGTGACCTCGAGGATTAACGGATATTGTGTTACTTGTGTATTATTAGGAATGCTCAGTTCCAGGCTCATGGGATTCCCTTCTAAGTAGGCCGGTTTCAGGCGGTGTCTTCGTGGCCTTTTTTGTTTAACACAAAGAATTTATCCATACCTTTAATGACTTTATATGGTCCGTCGTATGGGGTTCCACAGGGCGACGCACAGAGTCACGTCAAACGAATACATGTGAAGACGTTTTCAAACACAGATGAACAAAGATGTCTATAGACTGTGGTCGAAGGGGTGCAGGTTTAACTGAACACATTGCGTTTGTAAGCCTGTTGACGTATGAGGCGTGATCCATCGCCGGTGGGAAGCTAGAAGTAGAAACAAACTCACTTGGCAGTTGTAGTGTTGTACCATATACTAACTCGGCAGCTGTACAACCAGCATCAGTTTTCAGGGCATTTCGTATCCCTGGGGGAACTGAGGGCAGTGATTCAGTCCAATGTGCATTGTATGCAGCTGATAACCGAGCCTTTAACTGTTTGTGTAGACGTTCTACCATACCATCAGCTTGAGGATGGTAGGCTGTTGTTCTAAAACGCATACAACCTATGATTTTAGTCAAGGCGAAGAATAAGCCGCTTTCGAATTGCCACCCGCGATTAGCTGTTATGGAGGATGGGCATCCAAAGTTTGCGATCCATCTTTCCACAAAGACGCGTGCGACTGTCTCAGCAGATACATCCTTGATGGGTACTGCTTCCGGCCATCGTGTGAAACGATCGATGCAGGTTAAAATATAAGTATATCCGTGGGATTCAGGAAGGGGTCCAATCATATCTACATGAACGTGTTCAAACCGAGCATCAGAGATAAAAAAGGTGCCAGGAGGGCTTTTGGTGTGTCTTACTACCTAGCACTTTTGGAAAGCTATGCACGTGTGTGACCATTCCCCTACTTCGTTATTAATACCGGGCCAACAAAACCGACTAGTGACGAACTTGACGGCAGTTCGAATAACTGGGTGGTATAGGCCATGCAACGTATTGAAGACGTTACGGCGATAACTTTTAGGCACGATGGGGTGAGGAGTATTAGTGGAAGTGTCACATAGAATAGTGCCTCTTCCCACACCTAAGGGTTTTTCGGATAATTGCAGTGTTGTTTTCGACAACTTATGTTGGAGCTCAGTATCCTCTTTTTGAAGACGAGCCAGTTTTAAAAGGTCTATGCCATCTATTTGGGTGAGAGAACAAATGCGCGACAAGGTATCTGCCGCAGTGTTGCTCACTCCGGATATGTGGCGAATATTCGATGTAAACTGTGAAACGTAATCCAGTTGTCATGATTCTCTAGGTGAAAACTTATCTGAAGTTGAGTTCAGATAGTACGTCAGAGGTTTGTGGTCAGTGAAAATTATAAATGCACGACCCTACAATGAATGTCAAAAATGATGTGTAGCATAGTACATAGTCAGAATTTCTCTGCCGAATGTGCTGTACTTTG